TTTGACTGACATAGAATATGGGTTTATGTTCGTTGCGCTCTCCTCTGATAAGCACTCCACTTACAGCGGTGGTGGGGACGGCGATGTACATCATGTTGATCGCGAGATGGTCTGCTACAGAAAATTTGACGATCTTTGTAACCCATCCGGCTTGGATAGGGATTCCGATGGTTCCCATCGTCATAGTTGTCTCTCCGGAAAATCCGGTTAAGGGTTTAGGAGTGGCAATCACCTTGGAGAGGTCGATTCCCATTTTCTCGAGGGTTTCCCTTAAGATAACGTTCAATGAGCTTCTGGTGTCGATCAATACCCTTGCCACGTCGTGGTCTCTGATTTTCAGTTCGATCACTAACGGGTTGGTGTGCGGCCTATCTATCCCGGCAAAGGAGATTATGGTATTCGGGAAGTCTGTTGGTTTGGTCTAGTTCTCCTTGGCTTCATCCTTTCGTGGATAGGGGTTTATGAAAAACACCGTGTCCTGGTATTACTGGGATCCACCCATTATCATATTGATCATCTGTCTTGGCTTAGGTCGTTCTTTGGTTTCACCACTTTTGTCTCGTTTTGCGTTGTCTCCTTGTCGAGGAGGCTCCATTGCTTCCACCGTACCGCTTAGTTCGGCTCGCTCTTTTGGTTCGGCAGGAGAAAGATCTTTGAGGCTGACTGCATTTTGGAGCTCTCTAGCTAGCTTCCATTTTTGTGGCTAGCTTGGCGCCAAGGGTTCGGCACTGCGCCGTTGAATGCCCATGGGTTTGGTGGTACTCGCAGTATGCTTTATCACCGTAGTTGCTAGAATTCCTTACCCAAGTGTTGCTGCATGGCTCGCCTCTTCCACGGCCAGCGCCTACCTGGTAGTTATGGGCGCCACCGATTCTTGGTTCTTCTGAACTCTCCAGTCTGCATAGTTACATTGTTTGCGGGATTTCCTTTTCTTGTGGGTCGTGTCAGAATCGAGCTCCGGATTGCTGCTTTCGTTGCTTTATACTGCTCGTCCAAGTTCTTCATTTCTTCCTCATTCACCATGAAGTGCGATGATCAATGCAGGACATCCTGGATTGTTTGTGGCGTGTTCAGCGCCATCTCCCGTCGAAACTCAGACTTGTAGGATTGTTTCAGGGCTTCAAAGGCGGACTTGTCACTTCTTCCTTCCACTTTGGACACGGCGGCTTTAAACTTTGCCATGTAATCCCGAAGCGGTTCGTTTGGTCCTTGAGATAACGTCCATAAGTCGGTATCAGAAGTTCTTCGGTCCATGAACATCGAGTAATGCTTTAGGAATAAAGTGGAGAGCTGTTGGAAACTGTTGGTTGAATTGCGTTTTTGCTTTGAGAACCATTCTAAAGAGGCTCCTTTGAGGTTCCACAAACAGCAAGAAGAAACCGGCATCCCTCTCCTACTCGGTTAGATTGGCAGCATTTTTTGTGAAGGCTCGTTCTATTGCTATACAAAAGGCTGGTGATATGTGCTTTTGGATTTGTGGTTCTTTCGTAAAAAGGAATTCTGACCTTTCCCGGCTCGGGAATCCTAGCCTCCGTGATCCTAGCTGTAAACGGCATTTTTTTAGTTTCTTCAAGTATTCGATCAATTTCCGGTGCGGGGCTTATCGCATTATGCACCTGAGATTTTATGACTCGGATCTCGGTGATTGTTCAATCCATAGAGGCTTGGAACTCTTCCATCTTCTGAGCTTGGGCGCGGGTCATTCTCCTTGGTGCGCAAAGTCATCCTTGACCTTCTCTTCTCGGCTCGTCCTCGAACTCTGTTTGCTCGACTCATCGAAGGTTCTCCTTTTCTTTGGTCAAGTTGTTTTCCGGCTCGAATTCCATTAAGCGCTGAGGCGAGTTCATCACGAGTGATCTTTCGAGCCGAGCTGGTTTGCTGCGGACCCGTGTTGTCTTCGCTTTGTTGAGCTTCCACATTGATAATATCAGTATCACCTTCGTCTCTTGGACGTCTAAGACTTCGGCGAAGCGGGGGTGGATTGGTGATATTTGGTCGGGGTACTGTTGGAGTCTGTTCATCGAGGGGATGAAGCATCGGAGGTGCCCTAGGGTTCCTGGCGCCGCCACCAGTTGCTCATGCAGGGGTCAAGAAATCTAAGCGTCTCCTAATTCCGTCCATCGAGTCAGAGATTCTGGCTCTCCAAGTTGGGTGTCGCCTTTCGGTTGCCATCGCATCGAGCCACTCCGTGATTGCCTCGTTTCTCCTATCATGTTCCTCGATCTTCTTCATTAGAGTGGCTAGCATGCTCTTCATCTCATCCTGAGTTTCAGTGGTTGTCGTCGTGTTTGCTGGAGGAGCATCCTTCTCCATGTTGTTGTTGTTGATGTCATGTCCAGGTGTATCGGTCGCCATGTTCCTCAGATCTCTTGACAAATTTTGAGTAAGAAAATTTTGATTATCCACAGTCAGCGCCAAATTATGTGAGCCAAAACTCACACAATCAAAACTTGTAAAAGAACTTAGAGGGATCCAAAATCTCTAGGGGTTTCTCGCAAGAACACAAGATCAAAAGAAGGATTTACTGATGTAAAAGTGTTTAGTCTTATTGCTTAGGGTTGCAAAAAAGTTACATAATGAATCCAATACATCGACTATTTATATTGATCCTATAAACCGCATAGCCAAGAATCTCGAGAGAGATTCCTAGAAAATTTTCTTATCTTCGCATGCGGCCACCGCCTCGACCTTTTGCTTAGGGTTAGGTATCTCGAGAGAATGAGCTTCATTCTTCACGGCTAGGTCCATCCATTGTTTTCCATCCTCCGGCTCGGCCCGTCATTGAGCTCGGCCCAACTTGATTCCTCGAGGGGCACCTTGGCCCAAAATTGAGGTTCGGCTCGGCGCACACATCTTCCAGCACAGCTCGGCCCATATAGCATTTGACTGGACTCGGGCCTCATGTAATGGGCCGCAGCTCGTCGCTCTCCTTCTTCCTGCGGTTCGCTTGAACCAGAATTACAATTTTGATCTGGCTCGGCCATCTTAGACAAATCTCTCATTCGGCTCGGTTCGGTGACAATGAACTTGGGCCCTCTAGGCCCAATTTTCATATTTAGTCATTCTTAAATGTTAAAACTTAATGGAGTGAAAACCGACCTCAACACGGATTACTGGTCCAAAAATTTATCTATTTGAAAGAGATTTTAATTATGTATATATTGCCTTATTCTATTTTGGTCAGTCACTTTTTGTTTGAAGATTAGTTAATCATCATCACTTTTTTCATAACATCAAATGCTACATTACATGCAAAATTACCATTTTCGATGTTGATTTGTTTTTGGTTTTATTTTCTTCCAGACATGACATAACTTTTTGAGATCTCTTCATTATCAGATACATGGATTTCTTTCTTTTCAACGTCTATGGTTTTTTCTAGAGATCCATGTATTAACATCCTTGGTTTCATTATTGCCAATTTCACTACTGTCAATATCTGCTCCTATTTATTTTTGGATGACTTTTATTTTTGGAACCAATATTAGATCTACCATGCTTTAAGCATGTCTTAGACTAGCTAGCAACTTGATTTTATCCTTCTTAGAGATCAATTCTAATCAGAGCATTTACAGCTGATATGTGTGACATAGTAGTCCTACTTGGGTTAGAGAATGTGAGTCTGGCAACTGATTTGCTAAGTTTTGTAAATGAATTATTTTTTAAACTTTTAATTCATAATTTTTAGTCCGAGGATCAAGATAAGAATATGATAATTCATTCCAGCAGATTTCTTTTTCCAGCTGATTATTTCTAATGTTGGAAAGACTGATTTATTAAAATGACAGTCTAATATATATAGTCTTAAATAAATTCCCTATGGATGTCTCTAAAAACTTAAGTATCAATGTTGAATCGAATCCAACATATATTTCTAATCTCTTTTGACGTCCATCTTAGTTCGCTGTAGTGGAGCAATTGGAACATGCACAACACTTCCCAAAACTTTCATATGAGGAATATTTGGTTCTTGACACAAAATCAATTTTGATGGAAAAAAACTTATGATTATTCGTTAGCCTGATGCAAATTAATTCTGCAGCATGTAATATAGCATGTCTACAAGCAAAATTGATAGTTTTGATCTACAAACGTTTACTTAGCGATTCACCTAAACAATTTTGTGTATGAACATGTGCCACTGGATGTTCTAACACTTATCCCAATCAACATGCAATAATTATGTAAGGTCTAGGACATGAATTCACCAACATTTTCTTGGCGAATTGCTCTTAGAGAAAAATCTAGAAATTGTACTTGTAGTCTAATCAATTAAGCAAGTAATCTCGCAAAAGCTAAATTGTGGATCAATAACAATGATATATGTAACCATCTGGTAGATGTGTCAATTATAGCTATGAAATATCTAAAAATTTTACACAATGGGTGAATCAACCCATAAATATCTTTTTATGTCAATTTTTAAAAATTAATCAATTAATTATTTATCTTGGCTGGTAAATAATATGTGATAAACTTGCCAAATAGTCAAGAGCCAATAGCTTAATTGGTAAAGATTTCACGTAAAACCTAGAGATCGTTGGTTCGAATGACTCTTGGAGCAAAATTAATATTACGATTTTTGGCCTAAAACCTCTTAATAATTAAAAAAAAAATTGTCAAATGAACTTGCCACCGGTTGTGTCAAATAATGCGTAAACTTATAGTTTACATTACAATTATTGAAGCGGATGGCCTTAACAATTATGATGTAGAGAAGCGATTAGCCCTCTTTAACGGCCACGACCGTCGATCTGGAATCGAACTTTTCATTTTGAACAAAAGTTATCTAGTAAAAAATATTGTTAAGGTTTCTGTAAAAGTGGTCGGAAAAAAGGTTTCTGTAAAAGTTTTTTGATCCCAAAACCAAAACCAATAAAACAAAGCATAAGAGAGAACACGTGGAGCTTACGTTCTCCACGTGTATTCTATAGTCAGAGAAAAAGGAACAAATACGCTTCTATCTATCACAGGGTCAGCTTCCATTTGACTCTGCCAAAACCAAATACTCAGAAAGAAAGAGAGAGACGAAAGAAAAGAACAAAAAGCCCCAAGACTTGATGTAGTCCACAACGCTAAAATCTCGACCTCAAAGAGAGAAAGTTCCCTTTTTGATCTTTTTCTCTTCACCTAACTCTTCATTTTCAGTTCTCGATTCTGAAATTACATAAGTTTTAGTTTCCTGCCTCGATTTGAGCGATCTCTATCATTATATTTGTTCTGATTGGTTGTGAAATCGAAGAATCTGCAATGATTTTGGAGGAGAAGGATGCATCCGATTGGATTTACAGAGGCGAAGGAGGTGCCAATCTCGTCCTTGCTTACACTGGATCATCTCCCCTTTTTGTTAGTTTCTTCTTCTTCTTCTATCTTCCTGAAGCAAATTTGACTTTTTTTTCTGTATATTTTTGTGCAGATTCTATTTTAGTGGCCCTTTTGTTCTATTAGGTTCAAAGTTTAACGGTCATAATCATGTATAAATGGAGAGACTTTGGTGTAGGGGAACTGCGAAAATGTGTAAAATGCTCTCAGCTTGATTAGTGTCTCAACAGAAAGGCAATATTTTTAATAGTAAAGTTTTCTGGACTAGATTGATTTGGTTTGTTTCACGTTGATAAAGATTGTGATTCCTACAGTGAAACTATTTGTTTAGATTATTGTGGAACGATTTTTTATTCTAATATTCATGGAGCAATCTTGACGAAATTTGACTCTTTTCTGCTATATGAGTTTTGTAAAAATTCTATTTTAGTGGACCTCTTCCTTTATGAGGTTAAAAGTTGAAGGATTATAATCATGTAGAAATGGATAGACTTTGGTGTTGGGGAACTGTGAAAATGTTTAAAATGCTCTCAGCTTGATTAGTGTCTCAACAGAAAGGCATTATTTTGAAAAGTAAAGTTTTCTGGACTAGATTGATTTGGTTTGTTTCACGTTGATAAAGATTGTTATTCCTACAGTGAAACTATTTGTTTAGATTCTTGTGGAACGATTTTTTTATTCTAATCTTCCTGGAGCAATCTTGACGAAATTTGACTCTTTTCTGCTATATGAGTTTTGTACAAATTCTATTTTAGCGGCCCTTTTCTTCAATGAGGTTAAAAGTTGAAGAATCATAATCATGTATAAATGGAGAGACTTTGGTGTAGACGAACTGTGAAAATGTGTATAGTGTTCTCTGCTTGATTAATGTCTCAAAAGAATTACATTATTTCAAATAGTAAAGTGTTCTGGACTGGATTGATTTGGTTTGCTTCATTTTGGTAAAGATTATTAGTTTCTGCTTCCTCTTCTATCTTCCTGAAGCAAATTTGACCTTATTCTGTTACATGAGTTTTGTGCAGATTATATTTTAGTGCCCCTTTCCTTCTATTAGGTACAACGATGAAGAATCATAATCATGTATAAATGGAGAGACTTTAGTGTAGAGGAGCTGTGAAAATGTTCTCAGCTTGATTAGTGTCTCAAAAGAATGACATTATTTCCAATAGTATAATGTTCTGGACTGGATTGAAATGGTTTGTTTCACTTGGTAAAGATTTGTTATTCTTTATGAAACTATTGGTTTAGATTTTTGTGGACTGATCTTTTATTCTAATCTTTCTGTAGCAATCTTGACGTAACTTGACTTTTTCATCTATATGAGTTTTGTACAGATTCTATTTTAGTGGCCCTTTTCTTCTATTAGGTCCAAAGATGAAGAATCATATATCATGTATAAATGGAGAGACTTTAGTGTAGTGGAACTGTGAAAATGTTCTCAGATTGATTAGTGTCGCAAAAGAGTTACATTATTTCAAATAGGAAAGTATTGTGGACTGGATTGGATTGATTTGTTTCACTATGTTAAAGATTGTCATTCTTGCAGTGAATATATTGGTTTGGATTGTTGTGGACCGATCTCTTATTTCTAATCTCTGAACTGTCCATTAGGTGGGTAAAGTGATTCGTATACAAAAGGCTCCGAAGAACGATAAAGCAAACAAGAGCGTGATTGTGAGTGCGAATGGCGTCGTTTCTGTTTTGACAAGCGATGAGCAACTTCTCTGGAGGGATAACAAGGAGCTCATTTCGTCTACAAACAAGGAAGTTCTTGAACAAAGATATGTTAAGCATGTGATCATCCCACTCATGGGTCCTAAACATGTAGACGCAGGAGTAAGTAACATCATTCATATGTTCTTGTACTCCTTCAATGCCGATGAGGCTTAGACGCTTAGTATAGAGTATCGTGATTGGGACATTTTTCCTGTTTTTTTTTTTTTTTGGCAGGTACGTGTTTCTGTGTCCAAGGAGTTTCTCCAAGCGGTTGATAAGAAAGTAACTAAGCAGCGTCCACCATGGCGTGTTAATGCAGCAAATGTTGATACCAGTCATGATTCTGCCCTTATTTTGAATGATCATTCACTTTTCCCTCAAGGTAGCCATTATCATCAAGAAACCGGATATCTTAAGAGTTCCGTTTGAGCTATGATCATAAATTAGTCATAACTATCTGGTGTTTGCTCTATGGCAGGGATTTCTAGTGGTGGAGACTGCTTTAGTGTTGAAATAAAGGTATTTTCTTTAAAAATTCCACATATTTAGTTGTTTTTCTTTATATTACGGTCCTTGTATTACTCATCCTTGACCAAAATGCGATGTCCTTGATTCCATGAAGTAGCCCAAATGCGGATTTCTTCCAACCTCAAGGTTCCTAAGTGAAGAAAACATGCTCAAAACAAGCGTAAGCCGTTTCAAAATGCACCAAATCTTGAAGTTAGAATATAATGAGGTAAAAGCAAATCACTGTAGCTTAAAATCTTGATGGAACTTGATGAAAAGTCTTATGAGTATGTCACTATTCCGCAGATATCTGAAGTAAGCGGATATGATCCTCTTGATCTGTTTTCTGGATCCAAAGACAGAGTTTCAGAAGCTATAAAAGCCTTGTATTCGATTCCCCAGAATAATTTCCGCGTATTCTTGAATGGTTCTCTCATATTAGGGGGATCTGGTGAAAGTACAGGGAGAACCAGCCCTGAGATCGCGTACACCTTTGAGGATGCACTTAAAGGCTTCATTCAATCAGATGATGGTCTTAGGACAAAATGCTTTCTAGAGATAGTATCTGATGCTGTCTACAGCTCAGGTGTACTCGATAAGCTTCTTGAAGTTCAGAAGCTAGATAAGTTAGACATTGAAGGAGCAATTCATTCTTACTACAATGTAATCAACCAGCCCTGTCCTCTATGTAAAGAAATTGGACCGTCGGAGAAGTACGCTTCTCTACATGCTTTACCTTTAGATGAAAACTTGAAGATCGTGAAGGAGTATATGATAGCTGCAACTGCCAAGGACTGTAGTCTTATGATCAGTTTTCAATCGAGGAACGCTTTGGATTCAACACCTTCTTGTGATGCTGTCTGTCTTAATTCGACCAGTCAAACGTTTGATTACAAGGTATGTAACATTCATACACATTCTTGTTTCTTGGTCTCTCTTCTAAATGGTGGGAAATATCTGCTAAGATCATTGGTTCAAGAACCACAAATTTGTTTTTTGTTTGATATATTTGGATTGGGAAATTTGTAGGTACACTTCATTGATCTAAGCCTGAAACCACTAAAGAGAATGGAGGCATACTACAAACTGGATAAGAAGATAATTAGTTTCTACACTCGGAAGCAGAAGGTTAAAAACGGAGAAGAACAATTCAGCGATCCAAAACCTTCCAATAGCTAAGTCATTGATTGTCCCAACACCACTTGCAAAACATAAACAGAGTAAACCCAAAAGTGTTCATTTCTTAATGTATCGTATTGTTTATTCTTAATTCAAATTGTTAGGTTTACTAACAAAAGTATGACTCCCTCGAAAATCATGTTTATTGTGAGAGATGTATAATCCTTAATCTTGACAAGTTTCTTCTGTTTTACCCTCTCTTAATCTTGATAGGTTAAGAGAACGTTTTTTAGACATACGTTCGAGATTCTTTATATAACTTTTATATCTAGTACAAGTTAGTGTTTGTTTTTCCGTAGGATCTATAGTATGTATATAAGCTAAAACCATAGAATACTCATTCCTAATAAATAACATTCATTTGATTCCCATAATCTTACATTTAACATCAAGTAAGTATCAATCATTTCATACTTGGAGATGTCTAACACGCAGAAGAATCAAACTGATAACAGTAACTACTTGGATTAATATCCCAACGATCTTTCCTTCAAGCTAAGAACCGAACCTCCCAAATCTGTGGCCTTCCAACCTTCTCCGAAACTTGGCATCCATCTTATATCGCTCAACCTAACCATTTGCACTCATCTTGTATCGCCTAACCTAATCCTTCGCGCATCGTTAGGAATATTTTTGACACAAAGCACCGGTACCCCAATCGCAAGGTCACTTTGAGGGCATCTTCCCACACCAAACACAAAGCCCACACCTACTGGTCTAGGTCCACCTTTTTTTGAACCTCGCTCTGATACCAATTGTTGGGCTTTTTAAGCCCATGTCCAACTCCCTATTTAATATGATATTGTCCGTTTTGGATCCAAGTAGCAAAGTCCGCACGGATTTGATTTTAGATGCTTTCCCAAAAATTCTCATACTAATCTGTTGGACATCTTGGTCTAAAATTCCGATGTACGACTTGGATTGATATCCCAATAATCAGCGTAAAGCTCCAACCCTACGAAGTAGTTGGCTTCCTTGAGTGCCATGAGAGAGTAGGACGTCTTCAGGGTTTGCGCACTGTCAAATTGGGCATTTTTTTCAGCTATGGCCATGTGAAATCCAAAACACATAGCTACGTTTCCAGCATTCCGGGTGCACTATTGTTTGATCCAGACCACAACCTTCCCCCTAGTGTCCAAACTCCTAAGGTAGATAGGCACATTGTTGATGGTCACCACTTTTTTCGATCTCCAAACTGGAAAATTCTCCAAATAGGCCAGCATTTCATGAAGTGTCTCCCAATTATGATCACCTCTGAAATTCTTAAAGAAAGGCAACACAGTTTCCAAAAGGGTTCTGTAGAATTTCGCTTTCCTAACTTCCGCCTCAAGGAAGGGGAGCGACGCCGCAGCGCTGCTAACACCTGCCTCAACAAGAAGCTGCTTAACAGTGTTACTACTAGCCATCTTTTTCTTATATCTTCACTGGGTGTCCAGCCTTCTGCCACACAGCGTCCCTTTGGGCATCCACATCCTCCATCCACCACCGGGATAATTGGTCACAACCAGCACATACTTGCTTCTCCACGACGGTGAATGCCTTCTTAGACTGGGAATAATAATGGTGGGAGGTGTGAACAGAGAGTATCCCTGTGGAGGAATCATTCCAAGTGAAAGGAGACGCAGCTTGGATATCACCATCTTTTTCAATATCAGATAAGTTCAGAGGTTTGGACAGTTCCTCTTTCTACTTTGAGTCAACGTCGTCTTTGATCATTATGGCATCGCCGTCATCGCCCACCACCAGCTTCGAATTGTCCATTTCTTCAGGATAGAGGTGGCAGGCGACTATGCCATACTGTACAGTGGACATAGCCCTGGCCACCCCAATGGCAATACCCTTCTTGCGCCTCAAGGTAGGGTTGACACCAGTTTCAGGATGGATGGTCATCCTTGCAATCTCTTGCCTTATGAAGTCATACGTCTTCTTGATCACTACCTCAAGGTTAAGACATTCTATTGGGGACCAGTGCCATGTCCTGCTTATGTTGTCCTCACCACCAATCTCTTGCCTCACTCGGGTTCCCATTCCTGATGTTGAAGCCAGTAAGGCGGGTGTTAGGACCCAAATCTTCTATGACGATCACGATCCCTTTCACCTTTGGTTCTATGGTCTCCATAATTTTGGAAGCTTAATCTCAAAACTCAATGTAAAACATGATACAAAAGATCGACCGTAACTTTTATGGGAGATTGGATTAATCTACAAAAGGGAGAGGGTGTAGTTACCAAGTCTCGAATTAATGGAAGTATCTGGGCGGTTTATCCTTAATCGATGCAGTTTGAAAGAATTGTGTCTTAAGACAACATTTACACCATTGGGATATGTATTCAAACTCATGCGGTCTTGCTTCTTGGGGAAGCGCAAAGGTTTCTGTGTTAGAGGTAGTAGGAATCTCATTAAATGTTAGACTAAACCCCTTGGATCATTACTGTGCTCTCGTTACGGCTAGATCTTGATTCTTCACACGGTTGTTAGTTTTGTTCTTAATATGTATTCTGGCTCAAACTTAAGAGAAATCCAACTTTAGTCTTGAGACTTTCTCTCTCATTGATGAGAAGAACATGACTCTGGTATTAGTTATGATATTGAACTCAAACAAACGGTTCTTATGACCTCAAAACCAGACAAGCTATATGAGATTTGTTATTTCGCCATGTTATCCAAAATCAAACATGAAAAGAAGACATCAAGATTGATAGAACTGCCCATAAACTATGTTTCTCATCCCACAATCCACGAAAAAATTCTGCAAGCATCCCTCTTTTCTCTAGAAAATATGCTATATTAAAACTTGTAAGAGATATTTAAAGGGACAATCATGAAAAACAACCAGCAAAGGATCATAGTTCATTACCACAATAGTTTATAAGAAAAACTAAACTCAACATTTTCCACACGAACTAGTTTCTAAACGAAATCTACAAGAAAAAGTAAATCCACCTCACATCATCTAAGAAGCCTCATGCAACTCAAATTTTTCAAGTTCCACAAAAAGAACACCAAATGAATAATCCATTACGAGGTTTTACCGATTCCTGAACCAACCAGCAAACGAAGAGAAAAAACCTTAAACTCCCTCATCTCGTTCTCGGTTCCATTGCTCAATTCTTGCCCTCCTTTCCTCGCTGCCTTCTCTCACAACCGGGCTTCTGCTCCGTTTCGGGCTTCCATGTCTCCTCCTTCCATTACCGTCCCGGTCATGCCTCTCTGACCTGTCACTGCTCCGTTTCCCATTTCCATGGCGGTCGCGGTCCCTATGATCTCCTCTATCCCGCTCACGCTCTCTCTTGCGTCGAGGGCTTATACTCCTGCTCCGGCTTCTGCTTCTGCTTCCCCGGCGGTACGACCGACGATACCTCCCAAATAATTTCCTTCTAAGCTCCCTCGAAATCTGCTTCACGTGCATGAAATTACAGTACCCGCCTCGGTTACAGTTGTCTTCCTCGTACTGCCTGCACGTAGCTTCCCGGAAATCCGTTACAGGAGAGAAATCAGCAATTATAGGACGACCTGAATAGAATCTCCCTTGCAGAGCCTGCAACGCAGCAGCTGCCTGATCCTCTTCCTTAAACAGGACATACACATTGCCGATCATGTGATCAGCAAGATTGTCACAAACATTGAGGCTCTCCACTTCACCAAACTTGTCGAGCTCTTCAAATATGTCTTCGTAGAAATCCTCAAAGTGGTCTTGGATCTTGCTCGGGTCCAAAGGCTGGCCCTGAGGGTCAACACCGGGTGTTATCATGTCTGGTCTCTGGTACATGTTTGAGAGTAGGAGCGTCGGGGAGATGGTGGGACGGTTATGTAGCCGTGAGCACCGGTCACCGTGACGGCAAGCACCGATCTTAAAGTAAAAAGGACAATTCACTCTGTCCTTTTCAGTACCAAAGATTGAAGCCAAGTGTTCAGCCATGGCTTAAATGTTCACCTACATATAACAAAGTGAAACACAAATTGTTCATCTACGCTCAACAAAATGTAAATCAGGTTATGATAAAATCAAAACATAAGTAAGGATAATCACAAGAAAAGTCGCTAACAGCAAGAGATTGAATCTAGAGATTTCTCGAAATTTCAGAATCAGAGGGCTTAGAGAGAGACGAGATCCTATAATCAAAGCGAGAGGAAGCGAAATAGCAAAGACAATCAAATCGATGAATCGAACCAGACTCGTGACTAATTCCAAATCATCCAAGTAATAGAAAACTACCTAAGACGGAAGAAATTAGCGCACCTGAAACGGAGACAGAGATTGATCAGCGTATGAGAGTACCGAAGTGGAGAGAAGCTATTTTCGTGAAAGGACTCGCCGACGAGGAGCTGCCGTTTCCGATCGCGATCTAGGGTTAGGTTAATTATACGTTTACGCGACTCGCGTGAGCCCGAGTGAGAGTGGTCTAAAAAGACAATGAGATATTAATAAGGGTCGATTTGCAAATAGAGCTTCACTAGACCCCTCAACTATTCAACTTATTTTTTTATTTATTTATTTTATTAAACTTCCAACATGTGCAGGTATAGCTTGGGCTTTATATAATACGAATAGCCAGAAAGTAATGCATGGAAGCTCATCAATTGCCCAGTACCAACTCGGTAGCAGCTGAATCACAGGCATTACTAATGGCTGTTAAGGAAATCAACAAACTAGCATATAAAGAGGTTTTGTTTGTTGGAGATAATAACCTTCTGTTTCAGAGTATCAATGGATTGCTAAAGTCGAAGCAAAAGACCGGATGGTATGTAATCTTGATATCTAATTGTATGTTAAGGATATTGTTAAGGGAGGATTACTACACTAACCTTAGAAAATATCTATATTACTTGTTTGGCGCACTTTTTTTTTTTACAAAACTAACTTAGCATACCCAAAACACACTTTTCGCCTTTGTTGAAAAAAATCTAATTACAAAAATGCCATTACTTTTTTAATGCCACGTAGGCAGATTATAGCGCTGAAAATTTGATAAGTCTACCAGGCTTTGACGGTAGACTTATCAAATTTTGGTCAACGCAAAAATTTTGTCGGTAGAGTTATTAGGTCGATGGTAGATTTATTCGAGAGTTAGTAGAGTTTACAAATGTTGGTAGACTTATCTTGATAGAGTTTTGACGATGAGAGGTAGATTTATTATGTTTCGGTAGATTTGTTGTTATGAATGACAGACTTGTCAAACGTGTTGGTAGACTTGTTAAAGAAAGTGTTGACTTTCTCGCATAGTTGACTTTCTCGGTAGATTTATTGACAATGAGGTAGATTTATTTTCTGAGTTGGTAGACTTATGTCCTTTGGCAGTAGATTTATGTGAAAAAGGTGTCAATATGTGATGGTAGATATATCTGTTTTATGGTAGAGTTATATCTTGTTGGTAGATTTTTCGCTTTTGTGGTAGATATGTTTGTTTTGTGGTAGATTTAAATTCAAGTAAAATTCATTCTGGTGAGTGGTAGATTATTTGTTACCTGAGGTAGACTTACAGAATATTGGTAGATTTATTTGTTTTGTGGTAGATATGTTTGTTTTGTGGTAGATTTAAATTCAAGTAAAATTCATTCCGGTGAGTGGTAGATTATTTGTTACATGAGGTAGACTTACAGAATGTTGGTAGATATGTTTGTTTGTTTGGTAGAGTTTATGTAATCTGGTAGAGTTATCGTACGTATGGTAGACTTCTTATAGCAATCATGTGGTAGATTAATTAAGTTTGGTATTTACAAAGATAACCTTGATCTGGTAGACATATGAGGTGCTTATGGTAGACTTGTTTATATGGTAGAGTTATTTTTCATGCTTGAGGTAGACTTAGTTGTTAATGTTTGGCAGACATTTGACTTTATAGATTGAAATTACTTTTTTGTCCTAAAAGTATTGTCCTATCTACGAAAAAACCAGAGGTGTGGTAGACTTGTTTTGAAGTGTCGTATGTTAAACAGGTTTCGTACATATGGTAGACTTGTTCCATGGTTATATTTGAGTTGGTTTTGTTACCATTGACGTTTTCTTTGCATGAGTTTGCTAAGATTATGTCGGTTAACTGTGATTCGATCACAGATGATTATTGGTCTTTACGATATAGATGCCATAATCAATGGTCACAAATTCCTAACATGAATATTTTTTCTATGATATATCTTTTCTCTAAGATAACTTTGCTTTTCATATTAACTTTGAACATATATGTCATATCTGTAATAACCATCTCTTAACTTATGATTTTTTGATTTTTATTTTTGAATATTTGTTACATTTAACTCTATTTACATAAACTCTTACAACATCACAATGTCAAATGATTTTAGTCATGTGTTTTGATTAAAATTTTATTCAATTATGATATACATCATAGTGAAAGTAAAGAAATAAATTAAATTGAATAATAACATTACTAGCAAATGTGGTAAAAATGTGAAAATGTATGGGTCAATGTTTTACGACAAATATAATTTGAAAACAACAATATTATCATTTAAAATCTAATTATCATTTTTACAAATTCAAAATATAGATATACCATCAATTTAATAATAAATCTACTATTATTTCAAAACAAATCTACCAAATGCAAATCTACAATTCATAGTAAAACATGTCGGATCGATGCTGGATATCCCATCAAAGATTTGTTCACCATGGCAAAGCCCATAATCTGTCAGAAAAAAATAAACAAATACTGTTATTCGTATATAAAATTCAAATATATACGACTGATAAATCTACCATAAATAACTAATAAATCTACCAAATACAAATCATTTTTCAAATAAGTTACCATTAAATGACTAATAAATTTACCAAACCACATCGTTTTACAAATAAGTCTATCGTTAGATGACTAATAAATCTACCAAACGACATCATTTTAAAAAATAATTTTACCATCAAATAACTAATAAATCTACCAAACCATATTTCGTTTTCTAAATATATCTACCATCAAATAACTAATAATCTACCAAACTACATATCGTTTTTCAAATAAATCTACATATTATGAACTTTACAAAATTGATTTCCAAATATATCTACCAAACGTACCTGAAAAAAAATTAGGGATACGGTTTTTACAGAAAAATTTACGCCGCCGACAACCTCCACAACACCACCATTCCATCGAAACAACGTTTGTCCACTGCGGTTGTGCGCGACGCGGCGAGAATGCTGCTAAAGAGTCATGCCAAATATTTATGAGATCTCCAACATCAAGATCTGTGTGGATCTGCGAAAAAGAGGGAAGCTGTGAAGAGATAAAAAGGGAGAAGGAAGGAGAAAGCTCCAAAAAGAGGAAAGCTGCGAAAAGAGGGAAGCTGCTAACCGGAATCTTTCGAGCCAGAGGAGAAATCACTATGTTTGCCTATCAAGAAGCTCTACATGGAAAGCGAGGAAGCTGCGACGGTGGAAGATTCAGAGCTGATGGGACCGTATCTTCGTGCCGCAGAGACGCCGGTGACAAGAACCAATCTTCGGCGCAGTCTTCTTCTTCTTCTTCTTCTTCTTCTTCTTCTACAACGGCGACAAGAACCAAATTAGGGTTTTTTTTAATAATCAGATTTTTTTTTTCTGTAGAAATATACTTGTACTCGTTTTTTTGTAGAAATAATAAAACAAAAATCAATTTTTAATTTTTATTAATCAGAATAGCATTTTTGTAATAATTTTGAACAGCTGGATAAAAAAAAAATCATTTTTTTTAAATTTTTACTAACCATAATGGTATTTTCGTAATAAGTTTGAACAGGTGGATAAAAAATATCAATTTTTTAATTTTTATTAACGAAAATGGCATTTTCGTAATAATTTTGAACAGCTGGATAAATTTTTTTTTTTTTTATTTTTATTAACTAGAATGACATTTTCGTAATAATTTTGAATAGTTGGATAAAAACGACTTAAACCAACTTTATAAGGTTAGTCTAGTAAGCTAATCCATATGTTAGGCTAGGTTTGTCATTTCATCAACCTTAAAGACTAGTCTAAAGAATTTTCACTATTGTTAATATGTCCTCGAAAGGAAGGTTTTTTTTCTTTCATGTATGTTAGACGTAATATAGTGCAGGAAATAGATAGTCTTGCTAAGATAGCTAGAACTCAGAATCAACATTATAAAATAGTATTGTTACAAAAAAAACATTATAAAATAGTATGGTGTGTATTGTAACTTATGTAATTCCAGTTGTTAATAAACTATCAGTTTTATTTTTCATTTTTTAATAATTATTTTTGTTTGATAATTCTAGTAATCTTTTTTATTCATAATTTTTTTCTAGTTCTTTCATCCAAATTTAGAATTCTTTTATCTAAATTTTAGTCTAGAGATAATTTTAACTTTTTCAATATACTTTTTTCATTTTTTGTAATTTTAGTAATCTCTTTCATCTGTTATCATTTTGAATTTTTCATCAAAATCTGACAACAGTTTTAACTTTCCCAATTTTTAATTTTCTTATATTCTTATTACACATATTTCATTCATTCTATCTTTCCAACTGATAACTTAAAAATTGTTGCGATATATATTCTTTTTTTTCTCTCTCTATTTTTGATATTTTAATATTTTTTGATTTTTTGTGTTATAGTTTTGTTCTTATTTGTTATTTTTCAGTTGCTTTTTTTTTAAACATATTTGTTTTTAAAGGTTAGCCTCATAAATTATTTTTTTTACCATTTTGCATTTTTTTATGATCTTCATCCAGTTTTTCATTTAAATCTTCACAGAACAATTATTTTGAACTTTCTCAATTTATCATTGTTTATATTTTGTTATTACATATATTTTTTATTGAATCTATCTTTCCAACCAGTACCTTTAAATTTTATATATTTCTTTGTTGTCATATTCTTTTTTTTTTCTTTTCACATATTTCTTTCTAATTTTGATTCTCAATTATTTATTGAATTTTTTATTTGTGTGTTATAGTTTTGTACCTCTTGTTTTTTGTTCTTCAGTTGCTTGAAAATATTTCTAACTTTTTTATTATTTTTGATTTTCAAAATTTGTTTTTTTCTTAATTTTTGTTAGTTTAGTTATCTTTGTAGTTCAAAGATGATGATTTAATCACACAAAAAATAGAATAAGAAGCTAATCACTATACTTTAACAAATTTATTTTTTTTTATCCTAAGTTTATACTTTAATATTTTAAATTTAACATAGTTAAATGTAAATTAAATAGTTTATACATATTTATTTTGTTAATGGATTTTATTTAGTTTTATTGTTCTTATTTGTTATTCTTCAAGCTGTCTGTTTTTTTTTAAACATATTTTTTTTCAGTTTTAGCCTCATAACTTGTTTTTAACTATTTTACATTTTTGATGATCTTAGTAACATTTTTTATCCATTTGTTTTGATTTTGTTTTTATTTTAAATCCTCACATAGCAAAAATTTTGAACTTTCTCAATTTATCATTTTAATATTTTGTTATTACATATATTTCATTGAATCCATATTTCCAAC